CTCTGCGAGACGTTAGATTCGTTTCTTCCGCTTGTTCTAACTCCGCCTAACAAGTTCAAGGGAGAAACTAAAAAGCTCGAAGCTTGAGGCTCATTGGTGCGCTCCACTGCGGACCCGCTTGCCCGCTCACTTGCATGACTCTGGCTGCGGGGAATTGTGGGCAGGATATGACCGGAGAAAAAACACAAGGTGCTCGGGTGAATCTAACAGATTCTCTCCGCAGTCAAGATGATCACGTATCAAATCTTCATCGTTCTTGGTTTCGCCTGTGGCAGTCTCACATCCAGCTACCAGCAGAGAAGACGCGAGTTCATTATAATCGACCCCCAGCCCACGCGGCTACCGGTTCCTCGTTACCAAACCGACGATGACCACGAGTTCTTCAGGAGGAACTCGATGCGCAAAGTCCCTCAGGAAGCATTTCGACGGTACCGCCGACGTCTCGAGCACACCGAAACGAATCCGTACAAAATTTTCAACCTGCGGCAGCGATAGCCCGGGCTCCTAGGAGCGAACCTTTCCAAATCGACCGATCTGTTATTTAAAACCTATATATTGAAGGATTGCTGTCTAGATGGGGCAATGCGGAGTTGTGACAGGAATGAAACATAGTGGAGGACGGAGCCTGTTAAGAAAGAGGCCCCTGTCCTGCTCGCAGTTCCATTATGATATTGATGCACGTGCTGATCAACATTCCTCACTGCACGGGACGGATATGAGAGAAAATTCGATGCGCGACAGATCGAGAGATAGGTCCCATCTTTCCCCCGCGAGTGGCATTCGGATCCTTGGCGGTCGGTCACTCTCTAAATCGACTCAAAATCGTGAACTCCTATTGAAAGCGAACACTGATCTTATGTACACTGTGAAGCTCGATCAGGAAGTTACAAGGGAGGAGCTAACACGACTTCTCAGCACTGGGATCGTGGTATCCTGCTTAGTGTTCCGATCGTTCCCAACCATACTCCTACCGTGTGATATAGAGCACAAACCTGTACATGATTGAGCGCTTCTGGAATAAAGGGCTTCGAGCTATCCCAGAGGTATGTGGCACTCGGCTTCTGAATTTCGGAGCTTTCTTCTGCGCGGATACTCATAATTACGGATACGGTGATGGATGTGGAGGGGCTGAAATTCGACAAGTCAAACTCAACTATACATCATACTGTATAATGAAGTCGATAAAGGGGCTCCGGGAGGGTCGAAAGGAGAACAGAGCAGCTTCTGCCGTTTCATTACGAATTTCGAGCCGGCTCGAGCACCAGACTTCATAAATTTTCAATGGAGCCCAGCCATTAGCAGATCACTTTGCGAGCATCATCCTCGTAGATTTTTCGACGATTCCCCTATCGCAATCTGCTACGATCGTTGTCTGTCGGAGCGAATTCTTCGTTTTCTCCTCGGCCCTTCTCCCCCTCACTTCTGCGACGCTGTACGCCTCTACGCTCACGATTCACGGATTTTCGATGGATCCGGGACCCGTTGTGCGGAAAAGGTTCGCGCAATCGAAAGGCACTTGCTGAGCTGAATCGCTCTGATAGGCTGGGGGTCAACTGGCTACCTGACACCAGGATTTTCTATTTGATGATTCCCTTCTTGGATCCCGCTGACTTGGTGGTGGAGACGCCACCGACGATGCTGGAGATAGGATACCGTTATTTCTGTAGTATCTCAACAACAATAATCATTCCGAACACAGCAATAACCGTACCGAACGCTCCTGCGAGAATTCGCGAAGAGGGAGCGGACCCATGAGAATAGGGCCCAGCGATTTTCTGACGCAGCAACACTGAACTGGGCGTGCAGAGAGCTCCCATATCAGACGTGCACTTCTTGCGTTCCAGAGCGTGAACTTCCCTGTAATCATGTAGTGATTAAGCGAGGCTCTTTCCGACTTTTCTGATGTCCGCCTCCTCCAGCGGGGCTCGCGCCTCATCTGTGCATTGTTTTCCCACCGAGTTTTCTGCTTGGTGGATGTACCCCCTCCTTCTCGCTACCTGCTCGGTTGTCAGCACTGAAAGCAACCGAAGTTATGACCTTGATCTTTGATTGGTCTGTTCCAAGCTCTCCACTTGTCGTACCCACGAGAAAGATGAGCGTGATAGATGAACGGCCCACTAATGGACGCTAACAAGTCCGTAGGAACAGTATCAAATTGGGTATCCATGGCCAGCTCGGGCCGTTTGAAAGATCCGGCTGTGACAGCTGACCATGCCGTCTAATGCACTCGACATCGTCAAACACCCATAAACTAACTGGTCGAGTGAAGGTGATACGCGAAGGATTGGTAGGGTGAATGCTGTTGACTCCTTCCTGTGGGGCCAAAGGAGAGAACTCCACACAAAATGCACATTGACCTCCTCAAGCTGACTAACGAAGACGTACGAAGGGCCTACCGAGTCACCGTTTGTAAGAGAGATAGACACGAGGGACCCCCAGTGCTCGATCGAGACGATCGGTCAGCTGCACGCAGAGACCACAGAGACTCTTTCCGAAGACAATGAGACAATCCGAGAATATCCACCGGATTCGGGAAGGTCGGGAATTCACTATCCCAAGTCTTGTCTCCCCATCGAGCCGACTCGGGGTACAGGCTGGATTTCAGATCTGACGGAGTGAATCGCGGATCGTTTCTACCTATCTCCCACCTGGGAACATTATCGGGATGAGGGGATAGCAAACGAGGGGAAGAAGCGAAGTTTCCCATCATTCGCACGGTCTGTGGCTTGGAAGCTTAGAGGAACGGAGATTGAGGAGACAACACTGCGGCAGCTGCACCATGTCAAAGACGAATATGAAATTTGACTCCGCGCAAAACCAGGAGAGCTTTACCAGAGTCGGTCGGCTGCGGAACAACACGTTTATCCAGATAAGAACGAAACCAACAAGATCATAATCGCCCTCACATATGATTACATTTTATCACGTGTCCGGTGAACTCATCTGAGTTTCCTCATTTCCCACGCAATCCCTCTGACTGAGTCATCGGGGTATTCCCCATCACCGTTTCCGCGATATGGCTTTCGATTCCCGCTTTTGACATTCGCTCGATCGGAGGGTCAGGGAACTTCCCCATGCTATTTCTGACGACGCCCCACACGCTTGTACGAGGGATTCCGCAGAGGACGGTGGGATACTGAGGAAGTCTCGTATTCCTGCCCCTAGCGTCATTCTCCGCGGTTTTCGTGATCCTAGGGAGATGATCTGTGAACGTAGCGTTGGTCAGCCCAAGAGAAATAGCTACTCATTCGTTTAGATGACATCAGGTGACGATAGCATATTGTCAGGGGTGGGTAGGCAAAACGATATCACCGGGCTCGGTTTTGTTGTTTTGACGTGAAAACGTCTTTAATTTCATCGACCATACAGATCGAGGGTACTTCGTCCTCAGCGTCACAAAAGTTGTAACTTTTCTCTGCCTTAGATCACGGAAACCCGGGAACGTGGAACTTCGTAGTTGGTTTCATGTGAACGCGAATTTACGGCATAAACTACCATTCTATTTTGGTATCAAATCACGACTTCTGAGACACTTTCCGAAGGCATTTCATGCACATCTCTGGGAAGCCTCCAATATGACATAAATAAAGGTTGTGTGAGATGTCTGAAGCTTATTCTGATTCGAAATCACTGTTTGATTTCGAGGGGGTTTTCAGTCTTCCAGGTCGCGTTGCATTTGCGACTCAGGGGGTTGCAGGAAGGATATATTCATGCGAAACATGAGACATTTCGCAATGGGGGCCGATTTGTTCCCCTCTCTCCTTCAGTCAGCGTCACCATCGTTTTCCCTTCAGGCTGTCGCCATGACACGAGAATCTCTGGTCGATGGGAGTACACCTCTCTGCAGCGGAGGAGTGCGAGGAGGTGAATTTCGAACAGATGGCGCGAATCATCTTGAAATTCGTGAGAAGAGTTCAGCTCGAGATGACTGGGAATTATGGGAATCATGTGTGTGTTAATTGAACGCTCAATTCCGAACATCTAGATTATACTTCCAAAATCGAGTGTTTTGTCGGGACTCGGGACATAAACCTAGTGCCACTCAAGGCTTCTTCACTATCATGGGAGGAATCCGTCGAGTTCATTACATTCTTGATTAGTGATCGTCATCGGCATTGATCACTTGAGATTGTGAATTTTCCATGATGCGGCCAAAAACCGCCAGTAGAAGGCGAAACATACGGCGAGCAGAAGCTTCATCGGGCAGGGCAGTGAAAAGGAAGAAAACTTCTGCTGAGAGGTTGTTATTTCTTGGTCTTGAGTAGTCGTAGCGCTTATTTTATGAATTTTTAGCGTCGCACAGTAGGAGAGTGACGATGCGTAACGTGGTTCGATCAACTCTGTTTTTATTGAGAGTGAGGGGGTGATTGGAATGCGCCGAGGCGCGAGTATTTCAATGCTTTCTCCGAATGATCTCTTAATGTTAATTGACACACCCCCCGGAAACGCTAGCGTTTCCTTGACACACAGGGTTATAGAGAACGAATCACATCGGATGGCATATGTACATGTTATAAGGCAAGCGATTCGCGATATCTGTCATCTAACGGACGAACACAATGAAATTCGAGGACATGACTAGTGATGACTAGACTCTCCGCTTTCGATGATCTCTCTCTCTGAGGTGGTTCTTCCCTCGACCGGGGCTCCGTGCGGTAGCCTCGGGGTCGAGATTCCCGCGACTTTGGCCTCGAGCGGATAAAGCAGTTGTGCGGCACGGCGAGAAATCCGACCATTGCTGAATTTTACTGTATAGATGCGGATCAACCCGTCCCTGCCGCGATGCGCATCTTCGATCTTAACCAAAGGCCATCTCACGCGGGCCGTGTTGTCTTCTTTTAACAAACAGACATCTCCAATTTCGATCGGAGCGCATCGCGAACCGCGTGTGGTATTGGCCGTCCGCAGAAGCGCGAGGTACTCTCTGAACCATCGAACGGACAGGCTTTTAAAGTACGTGGTCCTGCTAGCAAGCCCTCGCCGGAGTTCGTCAGCGCCTGCTACCACATTGCCTCGCAGTCGATCAACGGGCAGAACTCTAGCGTAAGAGGGGTAATCGGGTCTCCTCGGAGGAATTGTGCTGGTGTTATAGCGGTCAGCTCATCCGGGTCTGCAGAAACGAACGTCAATGGCCGTTCGTTGATAACTCCCGCGACTTCACACAAGATGGTTCGTAATTCTTCGTAGCCGACGAGGCTTCGTCCCAGTGTCTTGATCAGGGCGGACTTGAAAATGCCGACGACGCGTTCGTAGAATCCACCATGCCAGGGGGACCGAGGGCAAATGAACTTCCAATCGATCGTTCGACCATTTAGCTCTTGCTGGGCAGCGGGATTTCGAAGTGAGCTGAACAATCGCTTCAACTCCGTCGCCGCCTTCACGAACGAAGCTCCGTTGTCGGATACGAAGCAAGTGCAAGCCGGGTACGCTGCCAAGAAGCGCCGTATGGCAAGATGTGTCTGCGGGGTCGACTGACATGGGACGAGTTCGAGATGAATGGCGCGGATCGCCATGCAAGTGAAGACGGCGACGTACGCCTTCTGTGTGCCTTGCCGGTGACGCACGTGGAACGGTCCGCAAAAATCGATTCCAGTCGAACCGAAAGGAGCTCGGAATTCGGTTCTGGACTGCGGCAGGGGGGCCTCAATCTGGGTTGCAGGCGCCGCGTGACGTTTACGGCATACAACGCATCGTCGAAGGATTGACTTGATCACCTGCCGGCCTCTAGTAATCCAGAACCTCCTTCGAAGCTGATTCAGCACAGTCGAAACCCCGAAGTGCGCATTAACTCGGTGAGCATCGATGATGAGGAGCACTGCGAGACGAGAATTACCAGGGATCACAACAGGATTTTTCTCTTCAAATGTGTAGTGTAGTCCTTCAACCAATCGTGTCCTTATGCGAAGCAAGTTGTTTTCATCGACGAGCAGATCAAATGCGCTAAGTTTCGAATCTCTCGGAACACGTTCTCCGACTCGGATCGCGTCGAGCTCCGGCCGGAGATACTGAGACTGAGTCCAGCGAATGATATGACACTCAGCTGAGCGGTGAAGAGTAATTGAATCCTGAGGCGGAAGCTTGCGAGCCAACAGGCTGAACCGGAGCACATTTGTGAGCACTCGTATCGCGCGACCAGCGGTACTATGTCGTTCGAGATCGAGCAAAGGCACAGGATAAGTACCCACAAGAGGTGCAGCGACCGAGCGAATCTCCTTCCGAACCTCGTTGAAAGTAGAATCGACAGCTGATGGTTGGGACAGCGGTTGCTCGCTGAACGGGAGTCGGAGCCAAGTCGGGCCGTACCACCACTCCGCGGACTCGGTCAAAACCTGAGCGCTGATTCCCCGAGTAGCGAGATCAGATACGTTTCGGCTTCCCTGGACATGGAACCAGTCTTCCCTCTTCGAGCTTGCCTGGATCTCCGCTACGCGATTGCTAACGTAGGTTTTCCAACCGCCAGGCTTCGCAGAAGTTGCCCAGTGGAAGGCGATGGTAGAGTCAGTGTAGAAGCGAAAGGCCTCGAACTGAACCTCCATTCTCTGCACTAGGAATGTTTTCAACCGGACTGCAATCAGTGCAGCGAGGAGCTCGAGTCTAGGTAGAGACACCTGATCGCGAGGTGCCAGCCTTGATTTTGACATAGCCAGCGAGAAGGTCGATGTTCCATCGGCGAAACGGCACTCGATGTAGGCGGCACAAGCATACGCCAGTTGTGAGGCGTCTCCAAACAGATGGAGACGGTAGGAGATTGGACTCTCGCGACTTCCATCGTATCGCCGTCGGAAATCGAAACGCTCAAAGGTCTCCGCCTCGGACACCCACTGGACGAGGTCTCCCCGAATTTCATCGGATACTGTCTGACTCCATTCGGTATTTGCGGTCCACATCCTCTGAACAATGATCTTGCCGCGTATGGTGAATGGCATCAGCCACCCCAACGGGTCGTATAGAGAGGCGACAGTACTGAGGACAGCTCGTTTACTCAATGATGTCCTCAGGTCGAAGTTCTTGCGAAGGTTTGAAGTAGCGAGGCGGAAAACATCTGTAGACGGCTCCCACAGAAGACCCAGTACCTTCAGTACATCGCTGTTGCCCCGGTCGAATGTGGCGGAGTCAACCCCCGTGTTGAGAAGATGGCTTGTGACCGCGTTGGAATTCGTTTTCCATTTGGCCAATGTCATTCCAGCGGTTCCGAGCGTCTTCCTCA